GAGCAGAGAAAAACTGTTTTGTTTTCTTTGGGTTTGTTTAATTCCCGGATCAGGGTCTGGAGACCAGAGGCTTCGAAGATAGATTTGGGTGGGATGAAGCCTCTACCCCTTTGTCCAGTCTTACTATAACCAAGGCCCTAAGCCTAATGTTTTGCCGCTGGACCAATCCTTTTACCACGTCTTTGCTTGCTGTCTGTATTGACTGTGGCCTTTTTATAGACCATGTTCCTGTCTTCTTCCTGGACCACTACTTTGCCTGTTTTTGCTCACCACGTCTATGCATGACAACCGGTACTGACCCATCTGCACATCCCACTTGGCTACCTTCCTGCAAGACACTGGTGCCACAACCCATCCTCTGCACTGAAACAACAGGTACTCTTTGGTTTATCTTTTGTTCAACTTCTTGGTGAATGAACATAGTGCTATGTGGAAAGCCACGTACTAGTAGGTTAAGCTTTTAGGAACAGGCTGTAGGTGAAGCTACACTATGCTTTATTGATTATATAGAATGGATTGCTAATTTTTGTGATAAACAGGTTGTGGCAATGGACCAGTAATCAGTCCAAACACTGAAAAATGTCTTACACATGTGGTATCCCCATACTCAGGAAAAAGTAGCAGAATGTGTTTTTTTATAAAGTGTTATTCTAAGAATACCTATGCAGTGTGTTTAGAAAATTATGTTATTATTCGTAACATGTGCATTAAAAAAAAAAAAATAACTACTTTTTTTCACATTTTCTAAAAAATCTGTGTAAAAAATTAAGTCTTCAGAAGACTTTGCTGCTCCAGGACCTCCAAAATTGTGATACGTAGTCAATAAATTAGATGTGTAATTTTTTGCCCTTAGTATGCCTAACGGTGCTTATTGCATGTGTGGGGCCCCTCCATTTGGTTAGGCTGTGAAAAAGTCTTGCACGTGTGGTATCGTTATACTCTCAGGAAGAGTTAGAGAATGTGTTTTGGGGTGTAATTTTAAGTATGCCTATGCAGTGTATTAGATAATATCTCATAGATTGACAACTGTTAGTGTAGAAAAAAATACATTTTCATTTTCTTTTCACATTTTCCAAAAACTTGTGGCAAAAAATGAAGTCTTCAGAAGACTCCGCATGCCTCTTAAAAACATACCTTGGGGTGTTTGCTTTCCAAAATGGGGTCTTTTTGTGGATAATTCATTGTCCTGATGCTCAGGACCTCCAAAACAGCAATAGGTAGTTAAGAAATTAGATGTGCGATTTTTGTCCCTTAGAACGCTAACAGGTACTTATTGGATGTGGAACCCCTCTATGTGGCCAGACTGTGAAAAAGTCTCACACATTTGGTATCACCATATTCAGGAAGAGTTAGAGAATGTGTTTTGGGGTGTAATTTTAAGTATGCCTATGCAGTGTATTAGAAATATCTCATAGATTGACAACTTTGTGTAGAAAAAAATTACATTTTCATTTTCTTTTCGCATTTTCCAAAAACTTGTGGCAAAAAATGAAGTCTTCAGAAGACTCTGCATGCCTCTTAAAACATACCTGGGGTGTTTGCTTTCCAAAATGGGGTCATTTTGTGGATAATTCCATTGCCCTGATGCTCCAGGACCTCCAAAACGGCAATAGGTAGTCAAGAAATTAGATGTGTAATTTTTGCCCTTAGAACGCTAACAGGTGCTTATTGGATGTGGAACCCCTCTATGTGGCCAGACTGTGAAAAAGTCTCACACATTTGGTATCGCCATATTCAGCAGGAGTTAAAGAATGCGTTTTGAGGTATCATTTTAAGTATGCCTATGCTGTGTAATAGAAATATCTCATAGATTGACAACTTTGCGTAAAAAAAAATACATTTTCATTTTCTTTTCACATTTTCCAAAAACATGTGGCAAAAAATGAAGTCTTCAGAGGACTCCCCCCCATGCCTCTTAAAACATACCTTGAGGTGTTTTCTTTTGAAAATGGGGTCATTTTGTGGGTAATTCAATTGTCCTGGTGCTCCAGGACCTCCAAAACTGTGATAGACAGTCAAGAAATTAGATGTGTGCCTATGTCGTGTGAGAGAAAGAACTTGTTAAATGACAACTTTGTGGGAAAAAAAAAAAGAATTTTTTTTACTTTCATCATTTCCTTAAAAAATTGGCAAAAAATGACAACTTCAAAAAAACTCCCCATGCCTCTCATTAAATACCTCAGACTGTCTAATTTCCAAAAAGGGGTAGTTTGGGGGGTATTTGTACTGTCCTGGCATTTTAGGGCCCCAAGAAATTATATAGGTAGTCCGTGCATCAGGATTGATACATTTTCAAATATATCAAATATATATACCGTGGTCTGTGGACTCTATAACTTTCACAAAGACTAAATAATACACACTGATTTGGGTTATGTCTACCAACAAAATGTAGCACAATGGATTTTGGCCTAAATTTATGAAGAAAGTATATTTATTTGCAAAATTTAGTATCAAATACTAAGAAAAACATGTTTTTTTTTTCAAAATTTTCAGTCTTTTTTCATTTTTCTAGCAAATAATAAAAACCCCAGTGATGATTAAATACCACCAAATTAAAGCTCTATTTGTTTGAAAAAAATGATAATAATTTCATTTAGATACAGTGTTGTATGCCTGAGTAATTGTCATTCACAATGTGAGAGCGCCGAAAGCTGAAAATTGGCCTGGACAGGAAGGGGGTAAAAGTGTCCGGACAGGAAGTGGTTAAGTGATGGCCAGACCTGCAGTCTTTGCCTTGGTGTGTGTGTTTTTCCTGGGCCCTGTATCTTGTAATCCTGCATTCTTGTTCCTGTTCCTGTGTTCCTGCTAGTACGTTTCCTTGTTGCCAAACTCTGCCTGTTCTGATTACGCTGACCCTCTCCTGCTCTGACCCCGGCTCGTTCCTGACCATCCCTCTGCCTGACCCTCTGTACCACGCTGCCCGCTACCTGCTGAACCTGGCTTGTGACCCCGACCATTCTCCGCTTGCTCCCCCTGTACCTACCTGCCGATTTATTATTGACCCGGCCTGCCTGACGACGCTTGCACTGTATGTACTGTTATCTGTGGGTGGTTGGTTTGGTTCGTTTGCACTGTGTTATGTTTTAGTATTGCACTGCGTTTATGTTTGTATTGTTAGTGTTAATAAATTATATTGTTTATAACATATCTGAAGTCTGTGTTTCCCTGTGTCAGTCACATACCTCTGGTCATACCCTGGAGCCCTGACACAAATTATGCACTGATTTGCATGTTCATGAAGGAAATACGTATTTGATCCCCTATCATTCAGAAGGATTTCTGGCTACCAGGTGTCTTTTATACAGGTAACAAGCTGAGATTAGAAGCAGTCTTTTAAATGGAGTGCTGCTAATCTCATTTTGTTACCTGTATAAAAGACACCTGTCCACAGGAGCAATCAAACAGATTCCAAACTCTCCACCATGGCAAAGACCAAAGAGCTGTCCAGGGATGTCAGGGACAAGATTGTAGACCTACACAAGGCTGGACTGAGCTACAAAACTATCGCCAAGCAGCTTAGTGAGAAGGTGACAACAGTTGGTGCAATTATTCGCAAATGGAAGAAACACAAAACAACTGTCAGTCTACCTAGGTCTGGTGCACCATGCAAGATCTCACCTCGTGGAGTGTCAATGATCATGAGAACAGTGAGGAATCATCCCAGAACTACACGTGAGGACCTTGTCAATGATCTCCAGGCAGCTGGGACCACAGTCACCAAGAAAACAATTGGTAACACACTACACTAACAAGAACTGAAATCCTGCAGTGGCCGCAAGGTCCCTCTGCTCAAGAAAGCACATAACCAGGCCCGTCTGAAGTTTGCCACTGAACATCTGAATGATGCAGAGGAGGACTGGTTGAAAGTGTTAGTGGTATTATAACAAAGTGTAAAATGACAGAGCGGGGTCAGTACATGCTGAAGTGCACAGTGCACAGAAGTGGCTAACTGTCTGCAGAGTCAATAGCTAAAGACCTCCAAACTTTGTGTGGCCTTTGGATTAGCACAACAACAGTGCGTAGAGCGCTTCATGGAATTGGTTTCCAGGGCAGAGCAGCTGCATCCAAGCCGTACATCACCAAGTGCAATGCAAAACGTCGGATGCAGTGGGGTAAAGCACGCCGCCACTGGACTCTAAAACAGTGGAGACATGTTCTCTGGAGTGATAAATCACGCTTCTCTGTCTGGCAATACGATGGACGTGTCTGGGTTTGATGGTTGCCAGAAGAACGGTACTTGCCTGAATGCATTGTGTCAAGTGTAAAGTTTGGTTGAGGGGAGATTATGGTGTGGGGTTTTCAGGGGTTGGGCTTGGCCCCTTAGTTCCAGTGAAGGGAACTCTTAAGGCGTCAGCATACCAAGACATTTTGGACAATTTCATGCTCCCAAATTTGTGGAAACAGTTTGGGGATGGCCCCTTCCTGTTCCAACATGATTGTGCACCAGTGCACAAAGCAAGGTCCATAAAGACATGGATGAGTGAGTTTGGGATGGAGGAACTTGATTGGCCTACACCAGTCCTGACCTCAAGCCGATAGAACACCTTTGGGATGAATTAATGCAAAGACTGCAAGACAGGCCTTCTCGTCTGACATCAGTGCCTGACCTCACAAATGTGCTTCTAGAAGAAAGGTCAAGCATTCCCATAGACACACAGCTAAACCTTGTGGACAGCCTTCCCAGAAGAGTTGAAGCTGTTATAGCTGAAAAGGGTGGGCCAACTCAATATTGAACCCTACGGACTAAGATTGGAATGCCGTTACAGTTCATGTGCATGTAAAGTATATAGTGATTTTTTTTAATACATTATACAGATATATTAAAATATTGAAAACCTAAAGTATGAAACTGCAACTCTTAACCTCAAAATCAGTTATTTTCCATACAAAAGAAAAGAAACAATGCATATTATATATAATGTAATAATTTGCAAAAACTGTCACATTTTTGAATATTGTAGATAGAATATCTGAATCTAATTTATTTCCATTGTTACCTTTTAACCCATTTTTCTTAAGCCATTCAGTTGATGTTTTTGGTGAAAAATTGGGAATCTCTATGTTCAGTGGTCCATCATGGTTGGGAGGTTTAGGAAGGAAAGCAGACGGAGAGATTTTAGCCACTCTTGTTGATATCTGTAAAAACATATCTATTTTCACATAGCTGCTGTAAATACAAGTATCATATTTTACTCTAAGATGAGCAGAAACATCTACTAGGAAATACATTGTTTTATTTATATACTAAAATAAAGCAAGGTACCACAAATTTACAAGCTGAGAAATTGTCTCAAGAATACCAGTGTTTAAAATCTAAATCCACCAAAATGCTAATATTTCATTTTTGGGAAGATGAAGGTAGTTGAATCACTCATCAGATTCCGTAATTTGTTTCTTAATATTAAGGTGGTTGTAAACCCTTACATATTCCAAGTGAAGTGACTGGCCTCAGGTGATACAGAGAGGAAACTAAGCTTTGTACATAAGTTGTACCTTTTTATCTGCAGTATTCTTTGCTCTGCATCCATTTAAATTCCAGAATTTATTAATCTTTCTAAATGTTCAGAAAAAAAGGGAGCATTGAGCTGAAGTTACACTCTGCGGAGCTCAGTGAGGGGAGCTCTAAGAGCTGATTGGAGGGAAGGGACAAACCTCCCTTCACACAACACACAAGGACAGAGCTGAGGCTGTCAATCAACTTGAGTTCCCTCCCTTGTCATCTTTTTTCTCTTAATGTCAGGAAAACTTGTCAGAAATTATTCATGCTGATACCAGAAAAACAAACCAGCTCTTAAAGTGTTACTAAACCCACAACAGTAAAATCAGTCTGTATATGCAGTAAATGATCACAAGACTGCTCTAACTGCTGATGAGAAAAGGTATTTAGCAGTTTATGTTTACTAAAATATCTGCACTTCCATGTTCTGTGTACTGTGGGAGATCAGATATAGTGAATGCAGGGTTTAGTAACACTTTAATAGAGACAAGTACACACTATAGATTTCATATTTGAGGTTTGCAACAACTTTAAGTATCCACAAGATCAGTATTGAAGTCATCAAAGTCAGGTGTCTCTATACTCTGCTCCCCCTCCTCCTGCACTACCCCCTGCCTACCGACACGAACAAACATCCTAAAAAGATAAAGAATTCGGATATAGGTTTTGTACAGCAAAAATTATATTAATTTATTTTATGACAAATATATATCTAAGAAAGTTTTAGTAAAAAAACTCATAAACAAAATTAGCACAAGAGACTGTGCTTACAATCAATGCAAATTATGCTGCTAATTTTTAGTTAAAATCCTCTGATCCCCCCCTAGCCCTACAGCCATAATCTTTCAATGCTGCGGGGGCCACGACTTTGGGGTAATATAGGCCAAGGGACCTGTCATATGTTCTTTTTAAGAGTGTAAACTAGGCCTGCCTTTCCCACCCCCTCCTCCATTCATAGAAACTGTTCTATAGTGTCCAACAATGAAAAATGATCTATGAATGGAGAAGGCAGAATATTCATTCATTTACCCACCCTCCATTCACAGAACGCTTTTCATTAATGAAAGTTATAGTAAAGCTTCTATATATGGAAGAGGTTGGCAGAAAGGGCAGGCATAGTCAGCACTCTTAAGTGTCTGTAGCAGATCCCTCGGCTCGTATTAACCCAGAGCACAGGAAGATTACAGCTCTAGGGGTAGAGGGGATCAGAGGACAGATGATTTCAACTAAAATTGCATCCAGTAGCACAAGGGACACTCCTCCTTGACTAAAGCTTAGTACACACGATTAGAAAATCGTATGAAAAATACCGCTTTTGAAGTGATCGCATGATAATCTGATCGTTAGGACACAGCTTTCATCCTATGTTCTTTGAAGGGACAAGCATGAAAATGTTTCTCGTACGATACCAGATTGTGCAATTTTCATTTACTCGGTACAGTTTTTGTCCGAAAATACAATAAAAATACATTACATCACTTCCAAATTTTCTTTCTTTCGTACAAGAATTTTCGAAACTTTAGTAAGCTCTTCACTTTTGATATGAGAATATGAATATGAGAAAAAAAAAAGGCAATAATTTGTCTAATATTCTTTTTGTGCATATGGGGCTTGTGTGGAGGTTGAATATGAGAAAATGGGTCTATGACGTGGTCAGCAACCTATAGATCGTGATCTATCACTAGATTGCGGCCAGGTGACAGGTAGATCGCAGTCTGGGCTTGCTGACCCGCCATCCTAGAGCATCAGAGTGCAATGTAAAGGGACTACTTGTAATGTTGGAGCTGTAGTAGGGAGCAAGAGCCTCATAAGCCAATGCCTCCTCTGTAGTGCTGGCTCCTGTCCCATGCAGAGTGATACCAACTGCACTTCACCTCTTATTCTGGCTAATGACCTTCAGAGTGGTGCGAGGACGAGATCTTCAGGTCAGTGTTAAGCAATACACTGGGCATTATAGTACAGGGCTGCTTTTACACTGATCCACTCTGGTTTACCCACCTGCAGCCTTTCCTGCGGGTTTGCTGCACTTAGCCATAGACTTCTATTATATCCTGCAGGTGTGGTACACATTCTGAATGTGCACCAAAACTCCTGAATGCCAGTTTTTTAGTGCACTTTCAAAAAGTGCACCACACCTATGGCAAAGCACCGCTAACCCAGGAAAGTTTCAGATGCACTGCCCTGCACCTGCAGTGCGGGTAAACTGCAGCACATTGATGTGAAAGCAGCCTTATAGGGGGCTCATGACAGTCAATATTCATTTACATTTGCATTTTAGGGGTGGTAAAACCCCTTAGTTATAACATGTTTTTACCAACTTGCCCCAACCACACCCGCTTTAGCTGCAGTGGCCAGAGGGGAACATATGTCGCAGCTACAGCAGGATTTATATGCCCTATCATGGTTGGTGGGTGTAGCACTTGCCAAGCATGACCCATTCAAGTGAATTAGGCTGCTCCGCAAGTGCCCTTCAACCTTGTGCAGTACAGCAAACAAGGGGTGAAAGCAGGCAGTGTTGTGTTGCTTTCATACCACCTGCCTTAACTCCTTGGACCCAGCAAAAATATGCAGTTGTGGGGTGCTTGCAAAGTGGCCCCATTTCCTTGAATGGGTCACGCTGCCAAATGCAACTAAGGGCTCATTCACAAGTGTAGCAGGCACTACTTCTTCTCTGAAAAGCGATCCAAGTGTGTTTGAGAGGTGGTGAGGAGGCGATATGTAAACTACCTGGTTTAAACCCACGATTGCCATGCAATGCACGAGATTGTGACATGGTAGTATGTCTATTAGAAGTTTAAATCAGGTGTGAGGAGGCGACACTGGATGAAACTGTGCCAGGTGATCTATGACTTCTCCCATGTTGTTCAGGTAGATCTCCACCTCATTAAGGTTGCCTACCCCTGGTCTATGGCATGTTACACATTTCTCACTTTGAGCCAACCTGTCACATATCCCACCCCCCGTGCCATCAAAAGGATTCTAATTAAACCTACTCTTTAATAATTACAAAAAGTATAGCTCACCTCCTGCATTATTTTAATAAGCGCATCATCCAGTGTTCCTTGACGCATCTCATTTATTTTATTTAGCAGGTTATTGGCTTTGTGCACCTCTTCAACCAGAAGTTTGATATCGGTGCTGGCATAGATCTCATCCTGTCGTTAACAACAACAAACAAATGTTACAACACTGTCAATCCAAACACAACAAATAAAAAGTGAAACAACCTAGCAATCAGTCAGAATGAATCCTTCTACTGAAAGGTCTAGAGCAGTGGTCTCCAAACTGCAGCCTGGGGGCCGGATGTAGCCCTTTGCTTGCCTTTATCCAGGCCCTTGGGGCATTATTCCCCCCACCATCAGCAACAGTGAGGCATAGTTCCCGCTACTGACACCAACAATGGGGCAGTATTCCTTCCACTGACACCAATAATGGGGCATTATTCCTTCCACTGACACCAATGATGGGGCATTATTCCTTCCACTGACAACAATAATGGGGCATTATTCCTCCCACTGATACCAATGATGGGGCACTATTCCTCCTACTGACACTTATGATAAGGCACTATTCCTTCCACTGACACCAATGATGGGGCACTATTCCTTCCACTGACACCAATAATAGGGCATTATTCCTCCCACTGACACCAATGATAGGGCACTATTCCTCCTACTGAAACCAATGATGGGGCACTATTCCTCCCACTGACACTAATGATGGGTCACTATTCCTCCCACTGACGCCAACAATGGGATACTATTCCTTCCACTGACACCAACAATGGGAAACTATTCCTTCCATTGATACCCCCCTTTCCTTATACATACCTGAGACAATCTTGATTCAGTGATGTGCAAAAGAGTAGAGGCTCTCCCGGCTCTCTCCCTCCTCATTGGCCATTGGGTCCTGCTGCTGTCAATCACAGCCAGTGAGGAGGGAGCTGAGGGAGGGGCCGAGCAGCGCTGTGTGTGCCAATGGACACACAGAGCCGGCTAGAGATAGAGCCTGCATAAGTTCCCACATAGCAAGCAGCTTGCTATAGAGCACTTGGCAGGGGGGAGAAGCAGACAGAGCAGGATCAGGGCTTTTCTGTGAAAATCCATTGCACAAAACAAGCAAGTATAACATGTCTTTTATTTAAAAGAAAAAAAAAAATGTGAAGTTTTACAATCACATTAACTTTCCCATCACAATCCTCTGTCATTGCTTTTTGTTAAAGATATCATCCATGCAGATAGGAAATTATACAATTTATCAAAGCTCTGTGTTCAGGAATACATCATTATATTTATTTTTTAATGCAAGATATGCAAGAACCTGTATGTGACATGCCATCAGCTACCAATGTACAGCAGAACTCAGATTATGAGAGGAAAAAGCAGCACACAAAGCCAGTCATTCTTGTTGCAGAGCTCAAGTGCTAACAAGGACGGCACTGATTAATGGAGATAGAGTGATTGAGAGATGAATATAGGGGAGGGACAAGACCTGTTATTGTGACCTAACTGCACGAGAGAAAGATAAGGTCTCCTGTAGTGCTGTGTAAATCAGAAGACTGGATGGGCAATAACGGTAATTTTTTTGCAGGCAAAACAGTTCCCATATATGTATTGTATCTGTGTATTTAGCTGTTTGCCTGGAGTTCAGCTTTAATAGGAGGCTATAGCATATTTGCATTGGAAGTGCATTTTTGAATTTATGCAATTTCTACCTGTAAGAGAACCTAGGGAGACAGTTATATAGGAACTGAACAGACTACCTTGTTCTTACAGGTAGAGACTCGGGGGCTGACATTCTGATCCTGACTTCATGTTTGTTCCAGATCACTGACTTTCTAGACAGTGAAGCCAAAATCAGAATAAGCCATGGAACTTGAACTTGCACACTAAAAACAATGGCAACAATGGCAGTTCCCAAATTTGTATTCTCTGTTAACATTATGATATATTGTAGCTTTCACAAATTTTTACATGCCTACTCTGCCATACTTTAGTAATTGTGATTGCATATCCTTTTGAAGGCATTCCCATTTTGATGTAGTAGGGGGGGCGACACAGCTATCAAAAGGGACAATCATACCAAATAGACCATCATTACAAAATACACATGTATGCAAAGATGTGAGGGCTGCAATAGTTCTACGATTTTAGGATTTTTCCCTTTTATTGTTACCTGGTGATCATTACTATTAAACCCCGGTCCAAGAGTAATAATGCTTACTCACTGCACTGGATTTACTGAGCAGCAGTATTGTCACCCTAGAACAGCAAGTGCTGGAGTGCAGCTCACTGGAGTTCTGGCAGGATCAGCAGGAATGTTTTGACAGTTATGGAACATATATAACAAAGCTGTATTGAATATGGTATTGTATATGTTGCTGTTCAATATGGTATATTTAGCTAACCAAAAAGAGCAAATAGGTAAAATGTATTGCTAGGATTTCCATTTTACATTATGTTAATCATGTTCACATGATAAATCTAATTAAATGTTAGAATGATATAGTTGCTTTTAAATTATGCAAAGTGTGACAAGAACCAATGATTATAATTTAGCATAATTCACTACTAAAACGTACCTCTTTCCAAGACGAGAAGCAGTGAAAATGCCCGCCAATTGTGTCCGCCAGTCTTTGTAAATCAGCCTATTGTAACACAAAAACAGTTTGTTAGATAGTCCTTCTCATGCGTTCACAACTTGTAATCAGGTGGTTTGACCGTCAGCGTTTTCAGGCACAAAGGAGGCACAGATGCAGCGTCCAGCCCCACAAAGTCTAAGACAAGCTGAAATACACAGTGGCTGGATGCTGTACCAAGCAGTGGGCAATGTGCATTTAGGGACATATGCCCCAAACGCAGAATTCCTGCAGCATCTACCCACGACTTGTGTCAGTCTATCACAGATTTTGACAGGCTGCTAGCAGCAGATCAGGACACTGCATTTGTACCTGAAAATGCCAAGATGTGTTGTTAAAAGGAACAAACCAACCGTGTGCAAGAAGCCTACAGCTGCTTATAATAAAATAAATATTGCTCTGCATCTTGGATAAAACAGTACACTAAATGCCTATAGTAGTAAAAACATATAGTGACTACTGCAGTTACTATTATGTGCTATAAAAACACAGTAAGGTAAAAAACCATAGGCAAATCGCGCATGTCACAAAAATATAAATTTATAATACATAATCTTGTGATTGATATCAATATGTGAAAAATAAGTCCAAAATAAACATTAAAGTCCCAGTTCAATAAAAGTGCCAGAGTTCCTTACGAACATGACATCGCGTGCCACTTCACAGTTCTGTTGGTGCCCCACATAGACTATTACTCACCATATGCAGATGACCAACTATCTCTAGTATGGTCAATAGATAGCACTTGTGGGGCATTCCCCTGTTTGATTAACACCACTTGATTTTGCCATAAGATGTGCAGCATACTCGAAGGTTTCACAGATACATATGGTGAAGGAACCTGGCTGCTGCACCTTCAAAATTCCAGAAAAGGACCATAGGACCTCCATAACCCTTGCGTGGAGGGGGAAGCAGCGGCTGGTAGGTTCTTATGTAAGTATGAGGCGCTCATCCCTGACTTGCTTCAGGGGTGACAGGCTCATACTTCACTAAGAACTTACCAGCCAGTACCTTCCCACCTCCCGGGTTTTGGAGATCCCATGGTCTTTTTATGGAATTCTGAAGGTGCAGCAGCCAGGTTCCTTCATTGTATGTATCTGTGAAACCTTCATGTATTCTGCATATCTTCTGGTGAAATCAAGCGGTGTTGATCAAAACAGGGCAATGATCCACAAGTGCTATCTATTGACCATACTAGAGATAGCTGGTCATCTGCATATGGTGAGTAAAAGTCTATGTGGGGCACCAAACATCAATGTGGAGTTGAGCGAGATGTCATGTTTATAAGGAGCACTGGCACTTTTATTACACTGGGACTTTAATGTTGTTTATTTTGGACTTTTTCACTTTTTGATATCAATCACATGTTTATGAATTATGAATTTATTTGTTTGTGACATGCACGGTTTACATATGGTTGTCTATGTTACAGCTGCTCATAGACATAAGAGGGTGTTCACTTATGTCCCCGAATAAAGAAATGACGCAGCAGGGCAAAAACCTGAAATCCCGGCTCAACTGAAGTTGTAGTGTATTGGAATGGGGATGGGGGATCAAGTGTCATACCTCATGATTTTTGCTGATTTCCATTAAAAGTCATCTTTTTTGTTTGTTCGCTTATAATAACATATATTGGATGAGAAAGGGGGGGGATGGGCCAGGAGTTGGTGCCAAACTACTAGCAGGGGCACAATAGTGATCAGACCTGAATTTTACCCCGCTTACTCTAATGTTCCTTCTAACAACATCCAGATGCCTTAAAGCAGTATTAAACCCAAAATCAAAGATTTATAAGTTGCAGCATCCCAATTCTTAGATGTGATGTCTGCATTAGTTTTATTTTTCAGGCTTTCTTTCTTATATTTCATTGGTGATCTGGCCAGTAACTCTGTTGTTTTTCAAAAGAATAAGCTCGCTACCATATATATCAGTTTACAGGGGTGAGACAAACTATTTAACACTGACAGGGGTGCTTACAATAATCAATCAGCTTTTATTTATTCATGTAAAACATTTATGCTTATAAAGTGTTAGCTGGGGTTTGGCTTCAGTTTGTTAGTGTGTTTTTAAATCTGCTAGTTCATCTAGCCACCCAGACTGACAATGCTGCTCTCTGCTGTGCCCCCTGTGCTCCTTCATCGAGAGTGGGGGCACTCTAATAAAAAAGGTGCGTTACTGGCTAGATCACAGGTGAAAAACAGAAGGGAAAAGCCTAAAAGAAGAAAACTAATGCAGCCACCACATCTAAGAATTGGTAAGCTGCAATATAATACATGATTGCTTTTGGGCTTAATACAGCTTTAGCTTGAAGTTACAAGAATGTCACTCAGTCTGACCATTTGACTATAATCTCATGTCTCTGGGTACCCTAAAAAAAAGATCATTTGGCACATACATTGATACACACAGTGCTATAAAGTATTACCTGGGCAATGCTGTCAAATGATACAATGTGAACTTGGAGATTTTTTCCGAGGGTACATTGCAAGATGTAGTCCGCTAAGACATCCGGGTCCTGGTCAGGGCTGTGGATTCATAAATAACATCTGTAGTCAGTACAAGTCCTACAGCAATAGGATTAATACGTTAAAGAAATAAATACACCTTGTTATTCATCTATGGCTGTATTTAGAGACCCCACTTCCTCAGTCTCATACAAAAGAATGACAGTATGATTATCAGCTCAAAATTTAAAGCATCGATCAGTAGGCTACAGACACAGGGCTGATGGCGATCTGGTGCCTGAGATTCAGAGAAATGTGTGACTCCTCTCGGCACTTCACACACCCCTGCAATAACTAGTCCTGTTGCTGTATTTATCCACAAGAAGAAAAGGAATAAAAGATACATAAACTGCATATTTTCAGTTCTGTTGTTGCTTATCACTTTACAGTGCTGGCTTGGGCTGTGTCCTAAGTCTTCTATACACAGCTCGAATTTCAGACAAATCAGTTCTATTGGCATCACCGAATCAAAGCAGCTGGATGGAAAGCTGTCAACTGAACAGGGCTACATCCAATCAGATGCAGTCACTGTTTGGATATTCAGATATCATGGGCAGTGGTTCTCTGAATACAATAGGATAGCTGGAATAAAAACAGTATGCTAGCAGGAATCTATTAGATTTCTCTTGTTTATAATGCAGGCTACATGGGTCTAGAATATAATGTAAATGTGAAATTTGACAGTGTTCAATGTGCCTGGCTATGAAATTATAAATCTGAAGGTCAGTGGCATATTTAGGAAAATATACATACTATATATTTGTTTCAATTGAAACCCATTATGCTGTTCATTTATGTGTAAATTGGACCTAGCATCAAATTTATTTTTTTATGTTGAGGTAATGCATGCTAAGCAATATGCAAGTGTAATACAGATATTTATTATCTCTCAGAGATAATGGTAATCTTCTAAAAATGCCATCTGTCGCAAACGTGCGCACCAGAGACTGATGCAGTCTGCCATTTGGTTAAGAGTAGCCATGTTATTCCCTCATTCTCCCCCCCCACTCACTCTGCGAGGCACAGTGACAGATGTGTGTGTGTGTTAAAAGTGTCACAGGCCAGTTCTCAGCAGGGAGCCATGAGGTGCCTCACTGTCCCAAGAACCTGTGCCATTTCCCACCTCGGAAGAGATAAGACAAGCTTTCTCAGGAGTTGAAAGAGATTCTGACCTAATGAACCTAATGCAGCGTAGGTGACAGAATCAGATAACACTCCTCAAAATCCATTTTTTCCCCTATGTCTCATATCTTGGAATATGAGAAACTTACATAAAAACCAGACATACCGTCAGATTGGCTAGGAGGAGCTGAACAGTTTGATGGGTCACTCGACTCGTCTCGCATACACAGGAAAGCAGAAAAATAGATCTCATGAACTGTTCAGTATAGAATTACATAATTCATATCTAATCAATCCTCAGACTTGTCTGCATAATAATCTACCCGCGGCCAAAATATGAGTTATGAAAGATTTTGGCTCTAGTTTAGCCCTACGCCCAGACATTCCCTCCCAAACAGGGTATTGATCCTTTGACTTCAGCAACACCCCCTGCTGGGAACTACAAATTAGGCTGTCAGGCCTAAGATAAGTTAAGTTGAAAAGTCTCCCATTTATAACATCAATACCACCTGGGGAGACACGTGCCCTCTTGCTCTGAAACTTGGATCTGCTAACCCAGGACTTTGGCAAGTACCTTAACCCTTTCACCTCTCTCTGATATCTCTTTGCTGTGCTATGGTTCTTTGTATATGTATATATATATCTTAGTTACATCTTGTTTCTGTAAATATTTTTTATTCACCCGTTTGACCTTTTAGTAATAAATCTTTCTTTCTGAAAGTGTTGAACTGTTTCTATAGCTCCGTATTGCAATTTACGAATCCCTGCCTCTAAAGAGAACGCTACTGTTTGTTTAACCCTCTGTATAAAAGGTGTTATGACCGTTTTATACAGACGATTATCTCAATCATTATAGTGTTTTAGCTGAGATCGCCGAGTTTCCTCTTTCTCTGTATAAAAAGGAGGTGGTGGCAGTGTGAAGGGTTAATTGCGTAATTAACCTAACTCAGTAACAATCGCTCAGGCTGCCGGTATATCGATCTGTGATCCATTAGTTGGAAAATCATTGTGCAGGGTGCAGCTGGGTGTGGCATTGTTATGCACGTCACATCGCGGTTTTAGATTGGCTAGTCCTTCGGTCACGAGTTTGGGTGAGAAGGTCTGGGGTCTGACGCCGCGATCGTGACATATTGGACGTCGCGATCGTGGGATTGTCGCATGTTGGTGGCAGCGATCTTGCGATCGTGACACCATCATCTGCTTTTCTTTCCAGAAGGACACAGCCATCATTGATCAGGCACTATCCATGGTCAGCATTTCCTTCAGGGACTGAGATAATGACTTAGAGATGAAACAGCCACGTAAATACTGGTGCATGTGCAGCTCTTGGTAGTGGTTGAAAATGCCTTACACAGATCAGCCCCTGCTACAAACCATTTGTTATGTTATAGTATGATTACTAGGGGGAGAGGAGAGAAAGAAAATACTTGTATCTTCTGGAAGCAGGCTGACAACATAATCTCAGTCTAGTCAAACTCATTGAACTTGAGACCAAGACTGCTTTTTTGGTTTCATGAACACTGGGGCTCTTCTAAACACTGTAGAAGAAAAGCAACTGAAAAAATGCTCCTATGCAGCGTTTTTTTCAAATGGGTTTAGGTGCATCAAGTGCTTTTATTAATTTCATTGGCAAGAATAATAATTGATTCTGGCTACTGAAATGAAAAAAACGCTCAAGTGCCAAAAGTGTCCAGCATTAACACGCGTTTAGACATGTTTATCAGCTTTTAGGCATGTCAGGCTGTTTTTTCCGCCAAAATGCTGCTCTCTTGAATGCACGTGATATTTTTTTGCCTCAAAACTCCTGTAAATGCCTACGGTGTGCATGGACACATAGGCTAACATGAAGGGGATTTTAGAAGCAGAGTTTTTTTAACTCAGGTGTGCATGAAGCCTTAATAAAAGGTAGAGCATTTTTTAAAAATCATACTGTTGCTGCATGACACAAATTTATGTTAAAGGATAAGGCTGGCCATACACTATACAATTTTCTGTCCAATTTCTGCCCAATTTCCTTTAGATTTACCTTCAACTATGTAGTGCAAGAGCCTGCCTAATTGGATACCATTGAAAGTGTTGTTAGTTTTGACCTCCCATTATTTGGTGTTTGGTAAATCTAAACCAAAAATCTCAAGAAAATTGTATAAATGTATGGCCAGCCTAAGTTCACCTTTGGGAATGTTACATGTCCCACCTGTTTTTAGGGTGGAGCATGTAACATGTTCCCACTCCTGCAGCTGCAACCCTATCTGCTGCTTCCCTGTGACAGGAGCCAGGATCTTTTCCCCAAACTCACTGTTACTATTTCAAAAAACAAAAAAAAAAAGTGCAGTTGTGCCATACTCTTTCCATTTTTGGATGATGGATTGAACAGTGCTCCGTGAGATGTTTAAAGCTTGGGATATTTTTTTATAACCTAACCCCTGCTGTAAACTTCTCCACAACTTTATCCTTGACCTGTCAGGTGTGTTCCTTGGCCTTCATGATGCTGTTTGTTCCCTAATGTTCTGTAACAAACCTGAGGGCTTCACAAAACAGCTGTATTTATACTGAGATTAAATTACACACAGGTGGACCCTATATACTAATTAGGTGACTTCTGAAGGCAATTGGTTCCACTAGATTTTAGTTAGGGGTATCAGAGTAAAGGGGGCTGAATACAAATGCACACCACACTTTTCAGATCTTTATTTGTATCATTTTCCATCCACTTCACCATTATGTGTTGGTCTATCACATAAAATCCCAATAAAATACATTTACGCTTTTGGTTGTAACATGACAAAATCTGGAAAATTTCAAGGGGTATGAAAACTTTTTCAAGGTACTGTAAATGTGATGTTATTCTGCTGCGACTGTCGGGTGACAGGATGAAGCTTGTTGCCTGAAAAGGAGTAGGATCTTCTTTTTCAGGTGACAATCGCGCATAGGGCAGTGATTGGCCTGCCCTATGCGACATGCAGAATGGCATGAAAATTGCTCTTTCAAAATAATGTGAACGGGGCCTAAAAATAACTTTCTAGATCTAAGTATACTTATTTTCAGCCTTTCCTCTGTATTATACTCTGTAGTATAAAAAATAATCATACCAGCTGTTGACAACAATGACAAGTAAATCCAAGTCTTGGATCTGCAGAGCTTTTTCCTAGCGCTAGAAGTAAGTTACAGCCTCCACGAGGTTGCAGTTCTTGAATCCACTGCCTTGCTTCATGCAATCTATACTCATGTAAGAAGAACAAGATGCAAAAGATGTACAAAACAGAAGACATCCAATAGTGATTTGAGAATCTAGATTTTTGTGTATCTCCAGCATTCTCTACTTTTGTCACACAAAAATGTTGACAGACACAATGCTATTGGTATATGGGTGGCAAATGAAAGAACAGTGTACCCTGCAGTGCAGCTAATGAATTAAAATACTTGTACACTGCATATGCTTTCAAGCAAAAGTATTTCTTGGAATAATAAGCCAGAACACAAGATAAGAGCCATGACTCATGTCTATTCAGGGAAGATGCACTATTAAGCTGGCTAAACAATGGTAGAATTTATTTTGAAGTTTTTCAATTTAAGAACGTTTGTTCATTAGTAGGGTCAAATCGACATTCTTTTTTGGCCTCAGTGACAATTCAAAGGAGCAGGATGGATGAACGAACACTTTTTTAACGGTGTATGTGGTTTTCGTTCAGTAAAGTCCATTCGTTCCAAAATCAAATGTTAAAAGCAAACACAATTTTGAACTACTTACGATCAACATTCAAACAACTATCAAACATACTAAGAATTTTTGTACAAATTTATATTTACGAATTTATTAGCATGTAGCCAGCTTCAGCAAAAATGTTAATTGTGTATAAAGGTAGAATGCCTCCTGTATATAATGTAGTCCAGCTAAACCAAAAAATGTAAGTATTTCTGAGTGTAGAGACTTACATTCGGACATTGACATTCCTTGGAGACTCCCAAAGGCATGAAACATCTGTTCCAAAGGACATCAGATATATTGTATCCTTGTAACATATCTGCTCATCCACAAGGCACTAAAATACATTTAATACAATAAAATAGATAGTATAAAGAATATTTATAGTTTAAAGATATGTTATGTGCATCTGTGTTAAGGGCCCGGGGTCAGTAGGGGGCCCATGAGATGCCCCTGGTACCTTTTTAATAGGCTTTTTTGAGTTTGGGCAAGGACACCGGGCCCCATGATCCCCTATTGCCCGGGGGCCCCATGAGTTGTCAGTCCACCCCTGATAGTACAACATTTTAATTAATTTTTCTCCCCCTGTGTTGTAATCCATAATTTTTAGCCCCGTACTTTCTGCTTTTGCTGCACAGCACAAAATTCTCATGATGGAGCTTTTTCTCATTATAAATTTTAAATTTATTATCGAGCTTTGCTGAATTTTACCTACAGGTCACTATCTGCTGTATCTTTTTAGGGTAATTAGCACATCACATTTTAAATGGAACTAAACCCATCAGTTTAACAGTTTCCAAAAACAGTTACGTCCAAGGCAAGCCTTGAATGATAGTTGTCTCAGTTGCTTGTGCTCTCAACTGAACTCTCAAGGCATCAAATAGCTGGTGTCATAACTGATCACACGTGCAGCACCATGGCAACTGCAGATCAAACATAGGCTAAGATGTCAGCTTCCTTGTCTGTAAAAGATAGGAAGGTTTAGTTACTCTTTACAAGTGACATTCAGGCAAACAAATATTGTTTAAATACAAGAAGTATGTGTATTGTGAGCTGAATCTCATGTATTTCCTTGCATATGTGTTATGTACAGCCGAGTGACAATGTGAGCACTAATTTGGCAAGCTAATACCTGGGTTTGCAAAGGCATTTGGTGCACACAAAATGAATGAATATCCTTTATGGCAATTGAGGGGAATAAGTGTTTGTGCCTGTAGTTCTGTTTTAACCACTTCCATACAGGGCACTTTTACCCCCTTCCTGCCCAGGCCATTTTTCAGGTTTCAGCGCTCTCACACTTTAAATGACAATTGCCCGGTCATACAACACTGTATCCAAACTAACATTTTATCATTTTCTTCACACAACTAGAGCTTTCTTTTGGTGGTATTTAATCACCACTGGGGTTTTTTTTTTTTTTTTTTGCTAAATTAACAAAAAAAAGACTGAAAAGTTTGAAAAAAAAAACACGTTTTTCTTTGTTTCTGTTATAAAAGTTTGCAAATAAATAATTGTTCTTCATAAATTTAGGCCAAGATGTATTCTGATACATTTTTTTTTGGTGAAAATAACCCAAATTAGGATGTATTATTTAGTTTGTAGGAAAGTTATAGAGTTCACAAACTATGGTATATATCTGAAAATTGATCAATCCTGAAGTACTGACGGCCAATCTTATTTCTTGAGGTCCAAGAATGTCAGAATAGTACAGATATCCCCCAAATGACCCCTTTTTGCAAAGTAGACAGTCCAACGTATTTCATAAGAGGCATGGCGAGTTTTTTGAAGTTGTAATTATTTTGTTATAATTTTTCGGAAAATGAAAAAAATTAAAAAATATATTTTCACAATTTTTTTTTATATACTGTCACCAGTGCAGTACATGGCGGTGATCAGGGACACTGACTGGTGACAGCATGAAAAAAAAAAAATTGATAATTTTTATTTATTTATTTTTAATTTTCTATTAAATTTTTTCTCTTTTTTTAAGATTTTTTTTTCATATTTCACTATTTCACTATGACCAAAGTAGTATAATGTTACCACAGTAACATTGTACTACTTTGAGGAAGTGATCAGTATTTTTTTTTTTTTTACACAATTTGCTTATAGCAAAGAACAACTTTGCTATAAGTAAGCATTTACCTGAAGGACATCGATTCATTCAGGGTTTATTTTTGTGCTTAGCTGTGATTTGGCCACGGCTAATCACATGACACAGCTGGGGTGTGATTGGCCCAGCTTGTGCATGTGATCGCTGTGACCATTCATAGCTAGACACACTTGTATACAATGGATGGCATGAAAGGAAGCCATCCATTGTATACAACTGTCATGTGACCTGCTGTGATTGGTCACAGCAGGTCACATGGTACTGGAAACGGGGCCTGTACACAGATCTGTCATCGCCTGTGTCCGAGGTACACGGCCGGTGACAGATCGCGCCGCAGAGCGGCCCCTGCGGGCAGGCGCACTGTGCATGCCTGAAAGGACGCCATATGGTGTCCACCCGGAGGGACGAGGTGTTTTTTCCGCCGCCTTGGTGCTATTGGCCAGGCGGGAACCGGTTAAATAAGAAATTGCAGATGTACTCCATGTTAACAGCCAGATACACAACTGAAATGTATATACTGTATATATATATATATATATATATATATATATATACACACACACACATACAGTTAGGTTCATATATATTTGGACACAGTTTTCATACTTTTGGCTCTGTATGCCACCAGAATAAATTCACACGAAACAATCCAAATGAATTTGAAGTGCAGACTTTCAGCTTTAATTCAAGGATTTGAGCATAAATATAAAGTACAAATTTTAGGAACTGCAACCATTTCTATACACAGTCCCTCCATTTTCAGGGGCTCAAATGTAATTGGACAAGTGAATATAATCACAAATAAAATGTTCAGTTTTAATATTTTGTTGAGAATCCTTTACTGGCAATGACTGCCTGAAGTCTGGAACCCATGGACATTACCAAAGACTGGGTTTCCTCCTTTCTGATGCTTTGCCAGGCTCTAACTGCAGCTGTCTTCAGTTGTCTGCCTTTAGTTTTGCCTTCAGCAAGTGAAATGCATGCTCAATTGAGTTGAGATTAGGTCATTGACTCGGCCATTGCAGAATATTACACGTATTTTCCTCCAAAAGCTCCTGGGTTGCTTTTGCAGTGTGTTTTGGATCATTGTCCATCTGTACTGTGAAGCGCCGTGCAATCAACTTTGCTGTATTTGGCTGAATCTGGGCTGACAGTATATCTCTAAACACTGCAGAATGAATCCGGCTGCTTCTGTCTTCTGTCACATCATCAATGAACACCAATGACCCAGTGCCACTGGAAGCCATGCATGCCCATGCCATCGCACTGCCTCCACCATGTTTTACAGATGACATTGTGTGTTTTGGATCATGAGCTGTTCCAAGCCTTCTCCACACTTTTTTTCTTCCCATAATTCTGGTATAGATTAATCTTAGTTTTATCCATCCAAATAATGCTTTTCCAGAACTGGTTTGGCTTTTTTAAATGTTTTTGGCAAAATCTAATCTGGCTTTTCTATTCTTCAGGCTTATGAATGGTTTGCACCTTATAGTGAACCCTCTGCATTTTCGTCTCTTGATTGTAGACTTTGACAATGATACGCTCACTTCCTGGAGAGTGTCTTTCACTTGTCTGGATGTTGTGAATGGGTTTTTCTTTACCATAGAGAGGATCCTGTGATCACCCACCACTGTTGTCTGCCGTAGACGTCTAGGCCTTTTTATGTTGCTGAACTCACCAGTGCGTTTTTTTTTCTTCAAAATGTACTAAACTGTTGATTTGGCCACTCCTAATATTGCTGCTATCTCTCTGATAGATTTGTTTAATCTTTGAAGCCTTACAATTGTCTGTTTCACTTGCATGGACAGCTCCTTTGAACGCATGATGTAGGTTCACAGCAATTGATTCCAAATTGATTGCAAATACCACACTTAGAATCAACTCCAGACCTTTTACCTGCTTAATTGAAGAAATAATGAAGGAGTAGCCCACACCTGGCCATGAAACCGCTTTTGATTCAATTGCCCAATTACTTTTGGTCCCTTGAAAAAGGAGGGATGGCCACTCTTAAGAGCTGTAATTCCTAAACCCTTCCTCCAATTTGGATGTACATACCCTCAAATTAAACCTGAGAGGAGTGTGCACTTTCAGCCCATATCCATTATATAACTATAGCTTGAATATGTTTTGGTAAATACCTGAAAAAAATAAAATTGTGCCTGTGTCCAAATATACAGTGTATGGACCTAACTGTGTACATATATATATATATATATATATATATATATATATGCACACAGCATGAAGTGCTTTTTCTTTACCTGCCTGAAAGATCTGCAATTCTGTTCAGCCAGTCTTGCAATTCAGGCATCACTTCTAGACCCTGTACCCCCAAATATTTCACTGTAGACATACTGCAGTTGAGCAGTGCAGCCTGGTCGTCTACAACCCACCAAATCTTTCAACTGGAAGATGAAGCAGGGCAGTATCTTAAAGTTATCAGTCCACAGTCTTCATTTAGGAAGTTCTCAGTGTTAAAAGGACAGAGCACACAGGAGAAATCCAAGTGTTATAGGTAAAGAGAGCACCAAATTAAAAATCCTTAGAAGTCCAAAGTCTTTACTGTTCAACTGGTTATAACTAGCAGGGCAAAGGATGGCAAAAGACGCCCAAAGCATTCTGGGGGCACACAATCCCCCTTCATCAGAGCTGAAGGAAAAGTTAAAAAAAATCACAGATAAAAATGATTATGGGTTATTTTAAAGTTTTCCTCCAGCCCTGATGAGGTGGGATTATGTGTCCCCTAAAATTTGGAGATCCTTTGCCCTGTTGTTGTAATAAATAAAGAAGAGAGAATAAAGACTTTGGACATCTAAGACTTTTTTGATTTGGCGCACTCTTTGACCTATTACACTTGGATTTTTCAGCTCAGGTAAATGTTCTCTTCTGGGCGATCCCTGTGTTTATGATGACCTGCCAAATACAGCCCAGTTGGGTTGAAGTAATGGCTTTGTCCACATTTTGATAACCTGTGAAAATCCATGTCCAGTACCCCTCTAACATTACATTTTAGAACATGCGGAAGAGCATGATTAGCTCAGAACGCTACTGTGCAAGGAAGGCTGATACCAAGGAAAATTAAGCTGTCTTGGTATCAGCCAACAGATGTACTAGGTAAATATATATACATTTTTATGTAGAGTAGGAAAATAATAAAATTGCTAGTGGCGGAGAGAAAATTGCTTTACAAATCAAGCAATTTGTAATTTTTTATTCTGAATATGTGCACACTGATCTTTCTAATCCAGAGAAAACTATACAATTCACATGACACATGGATTTCTGTATGTCATGATTCTCCACAAATCAGCCAGAACCACAGTTGTTCTCGCTAGTTTGCATACCCCGGCAGAAATCAGAAATCGTGACATTTTGGCATTGATATTGAAAATATGACTGATCATGCCAAAAAACTGCCTTTTATTTAAGGATAGTGATCATATAATCATTTATTATCACATAGTTTGGCTCCTTTTTTCATAATAATAACAGAAATCACCCAAATGCCCTGATCATACATACCCTGGAATGATTGGCCTTGGTACAGGCACACAAGCTTACACACACAGGTTAAAATGCCAATTCAAGGTTAATTTCCCAAATCTGTGGCTTTTAAAATTGCAATTAGTGTCTGTGTATAAAAAGTCATTGAGTTTGTTAGCTCTCACGTGAATATACTGAGCAGGCTAGATACTGAGCCACAAGGAGCAGATAGGAACTGGTTTTTGTAAAGCATATAAAGAAATCCAGAGCCTCGAATATGCTGATCAGTACGAAGTAGAAAATTCGGGGATCTTTTGATACCAAGCCAAGGTCAGGTAGACCAAGAAGGATTGCAGCCACAACTGCCAGAAGAATTGTTCGGGATACAAAGAAAAATCCACAGGTAACCTCAGAAGAAATACAGGCTGCTCTGGAAAAAGACGGTATGATTGTTTTTAAGGAGCACAATACAACGATACTTGAACCAAAATGAGCTGCATGGTCCAGTTGCCAGAAAGAAGCAATTACTGCACCAATGCCACAAAAAAAAGCCTGGTTACAAAATGCCCGACAACACCTTGACATGCCTCACCAAGCTTTTTTGTGGCATTGGTGCAGTACAATGGGGCAATGTGAAAAGAGCCTAAATGTTGTTGTATGATTTTCCATGCAAATCAAATGTGAAGATTCATTTGCTGCGTACTATCACTCAAAGCCTATCATTTACAAACAAGATAATTAATTAATTACCAGTAGGCCTCTTAGGAAATCCATTCTCCTTGGACCACAGTTTAGATGTGATGAATCAATTAGCAATCCAACGTTTTTCCCCTTTACAAGGCCAAACATCTAGAGGATAAAACATGATGTTAAGAATCCCAATTAGCAGTGACAATTGTCTTGTGTATGGGTACGTGTATATAGTCTCTTGAGTATGCAAACCAAGGAGCTCTAAATGGAGTCATTGCAGGGTTTTAACTGCTGCTGGGCCCATGAGGTCATTGGTTTAACCATGACAGCTACTTCAGAATAAAATGAACACTGTGTACACAACAGTGAGAAAACTAACATCGTTGGCAACATACAAGCATATCTTGGTGCCTTCTTCAGTGTCTGGGGTAGATCCTATGCCCATGCTGTATACTTCTCTCTAACATTATGGAAATATATAAACATATACTGCATATGAAAATATCATGCAGCCCAGTTAACTGCATTAACAGCTCAGCCCTCCCTGATCAACATTTTGTTTAATCCCATATTCATTCCAGGATTGAAACACTTCACACTGTACTTCAAAAAAGGCTCAGAATGTAAAACATTTTCACCATTTATAGCTTCCTAGATAATAACAAATCTCATTTGTACAAACATTTAAAGAGTAACTCCACTTTTGTAGAGAAAAAAAAAACCCCTCTGGGTGGTCTATGTACATTGTAAGGGCTTTAACAAACTTTCCTACCTGTTTCTGTTCCTAAGAAAAACCTGTATGTACGAATATGTCCTTGGAATATTGATTCCTGAATGAGAGTGCTGATGCACTTGCAGACATCTAATGAAAAAAGTTGCAGTGTCTGCAACCCTTTAAACGTAATTACCTCATAGGGAGCATCTCAACAAAAAATATAAATCCTAATGCTGAGGATGCCTAAAATTTTACTTTTATCTTAGTGCACATTTCTGGGAATATCAGTGAACCAATCACAAAAGCAAGAAATTACATTTCTAGGGAAGTTTAGTACACCATCTGTGTACAGAATGCTTCCAGGTTGCCATATTACATTGAATGTTACAAAAAATTACATCAGCTGCAGAGTGAAAAGGAAAGGTCATGGCTTGTGTAGCAATTGTATATCCTATATTATTATTTTTTATTAGCTATAATTTTTTTTCACGAAGGTGGAATAACTCTTTAAGACCAAGCATAATCCACCACTCCCTGAATATTTCCGACCAAGAGTTTCAATTGTGCATTCACTAGCACAGAAGGATACAAAAATCTAAGCTACATGCTTCGAGTCAATTTGCTTATAGGTGTGGCAAGATAGGACCATCTTTAGGTTAATATCTGTGCGGGGTGTGCTTGCTCGGGCACAACAGCCTGTTCATTTGAATGGGCTCCTGTATTTGCAGGAAACACAGGGAAAAAAAATGCCCAACCCTTTTTTAAAAAACAGAGCCACGTGGAACTGCATGTTCCTGTGGCACCATGCGATTCTGTGCTCTCAAAAATGTGCCTTGTTTTTTGATGAGTGGGGGTGTGATTAAGATAGAGCAAAAGAGAAGCGTCTTTTGCCTGAGGGTCAGGAATGTGCAGGATTATGCAAAGGTTCCCGATCTGCACGTATGTGAACCTAGCCATATCTGTATTCCACAATGTGAATGCATGCTCAATGGGCCCTCAATGTGAATGCATGCTCAGCTGTACAGAAGATTTACAACTATCTGTTACCATCCCTGGATGGCACCACTTTTTCACAATTAGCAAGGGCAAATTTAGGTGATTTTAATGGAATTCCTTATAGAACTCATGCAGTACCTCCTGCTTTACACAAAGTTATTCGTCAGATGATGCTCATAACTGCTGGTGGAAATATATGGCAGGAATGTTTAGCTGTCTCTACATTTTGTTCACTTACTCTTTGCTTTTGTCCAAGGTTTACTTGAAATAAATGACAAATTACCTTCCATATTAGTATTAGAATATAAATACCAAGAAATCAATAATCTGAATCATAGGTTGATACATATTAACATGTTTTGTACCTATAGTATGCTCAATCACAAACAAGCTACTTGCATATCCCCATTCACATCTCCTGCATAGAACTTACAATGGACTGTTTGGCTACTTCAATATAATTCTATGAAATCAAAGAGATGAAACCAGACAGTTAATATATTTTTGTTAGATATAAGGGGGCACTAGTTACATTTTATACTAGGGCAATTGGCAATTATCTCTACCTCTGTGAAGTCATTAACATCTGCTTTAACACATCATGTACAGGATCAGCCACTATGGCACTCCAATATATATTTTAAATTTAACAGAAAACTGTCCATGAACTGAGCAAATAACCTTTCTGCTGCCTTCCATCAGCCAGTTAATTCTCTTATGGTAATTTCAATAGTCCTAAAAAAGAAAAGCGCATAATCAATGTATAAACAAATGAAATAAATTGCACTGCAATATTTAATGCCATCAGTTAATACTAAAAATCCCTGTGCTGCTCAGAGTAACCAATCGGTTACAATATTCCAAGTTCTATTTTCCAGTTATTTACATAACTAATTTTTTGGTCCTTTTCTGGTCCAGGTTGTTTTCTATGGATGCGTTTCCTCCATTGATATTGAAGTGCATGAGAGGTTTTCATCCAATAGGCACTTCTAAAAGGTTCAGGGGGGCATATCATGTGAAAGGTTCAGGGGGCATATCATTCTGTGATTAAGTGCCACTGCACTGGAACACACTGCAATGGTGTAAACTAGGCTATTGGAATACATATAAACTGTGCATAGGTGTTTTATGCAGATTAAAAATGCACTGGACAGCATCTGATGTGAACCAGCCCTTAATTCATCATATAAACATTTCATTTCAGCAAAATATAGGCAGTAAAGAAAAAAAGGGCTAAGGTGGAATTTCAGCAAAGCTCAGAGGATTGCTTAGAGTTGATTTATACACATTTAGGGGGAATGGGTAAAAAATGATCACACATAAAAAGTGTCTCTGAGCACCACTGAAACCTTGAGGTCACATTCACCCTTGTGGGTATTGACACCGTGTTCTAAAACACATTTCTACAACCCATGGCCGTGCACTTGTTCTATGTCCGCTGTGTTGTGCTGCCATTCATTGTGAAAATTTCATACATATTACTACCTCATTGTTTAAGTTTCTTACTTCATAAAAGGAAAATAAATGTATGACACCTTCTATCTTTTTACATCAATGCTGGCTACTGCTTATAATTATAATTTCTAGCAGATACTTCTTTATGGTAATATTTTAATTCCTCCTATACCTTTCCTGTAATAGAATCCCTTTTTTAAATATTGGTAACACATTTTTTTTGACCCAATAAAATCATACCAAACCAATCATGAAAGTCTTTAAAATAGAAACAATTGCTTAGAAATAAAAAAGCCCAACTCTTCGAGTACTTGTGGGTGTAAGCCATCTGGATAAGATGCTTTATTTATTTTTTATTTTGTCTGATTCTGCACAATATCAATGTTGGTCAATTGTCTTAATACAGATACCTATTCTTTAAGGGAGTGAAAACTGCTCCTTTATTTATTTTTTTTTTAAAACGTGCATTTTTCATCTCCTTAGACCAATAACATTTAAATCGTCCACTTAAGAAAAAAAATAAAGATTTCTGTAACACCACTTTCCAATTTCAAACCTGCTGTAAAAATGACAGCTGGCCTTTGATTGTTAAAATAGGTAACATAGGAACTTCTGTTTTCTCTTGTTTTTCACAGAAAGCCCAGCTTTCAGAAGCGATAATGTGTATGAATTTTACAGCATGAACAAAAAAAAAAGAAAAGCTTAAAATAAAACCATACTTACTCACGTATTTTTAACTCAAATTCATTTATTGTTTCAGCTTCAAATTCAATCTGCTTGGAGGCATTTCTTGATGGTTTCCTAATAAAGGTATATACAGATTTGAATATTTGTTCTCAACTCAGAACAATCATGCCTAAGAAAAGATTTGTATTTGCTCACCTAAATATCATTACTTACTCTTCTAGTCACTGCCTTTTTTAACTTCCTTGCATTTGCCCAAATATTGTGTATGTAGTAGCAGTGTGTGAGCTTTGGTAGTTGACAGAGGCAGCAACTATCAGGGCTTCTAGTGACCTCTGAACCCCCCCCCCCCCCCCACCACCACCACCACCAGCTGAAGTGTCAGACAGACAGTAAGTAGGGGAAACATGCATTTTTCAGCAAATATGTCTATACAGCCTAGTTTCTTGTTGTCTTAAAGTGCTACATCAATATATAGACATTATTGACATCACTAAATAATTAAATATTAAATTTTTTTCAGACTTACAGTATATCAAACATTCTCTGTCAAAGAATGAAATTCATTTCTAACTTACTTTAAAAATTATTTACCTGAAGCAGCTTTTTTCTCTCAATCACCCTCTGCTTTACACTGATGGTTTTGCTACCTGCTATTGTGTGAAAAAGCTCCTAATTGTCTCATATCATTCATTAGCAGCCCCTCACTATTTCATACCTCTTAAAGTGGTAGTAAACTATTTTTGTATACTTTTACCTACAGGCTCTTTTTGACAGCTGGCACATGCGCTCTGAAGGAAACATCATACCAGTGCCATTCCTTCAGAGCACTGTGCTGTGGCCCAGGACTCCCGCATGCATATGCAGGAGTGACGTCACAGCCAGTCAGACGCCCGTAGTTCGCAAATCCAGAAGAAAGACCAGGTGAAGATGGAAGCCTCTGAAGTGGTGACAGCACACCGTTGGAGGGCTTAGTTTTAATGTAAGTCCTTCATAATGTGCTAGTCTGCGATGCAGATTAGCACATTAAGACATTACCTTGCAGGGGATTTTTTTTTTTTTTTTTTTTAGGTGCGGTTTACTACAGCTTTAAAGTGTAACTAAAGGCAAACTTTTTTTTTTGTTTCGGATAGAGAGCAGAGAGATTAGAACACCTGTCATTTTTTTCTTTTTTTTTTAGCTTTCTGTGCCCCCTGTTAGAGAGATTCACCCTCTCTATTTGTCCTGTTCACCATTATCATCGAAAGTAAAATTAAAAGAAAATCACAAATTTTGTATTCACATCAAAACACTAATAGAGGTGAAATCT